CAGGGTATGGTTCATACTTGGAGAGCCCAGCCCAACCCTTACTTAGCATGTCTTAGCCTCTTCACCACCAGCCCCCCTCCGGCTTGGAACATGGCCTCATGAGCTTCTTCTCGGCCTCAACGGCATTCTTCACCTGCCACTGCCAATGTCCACCTGGCCCTGACAAGGTTCGATCCTCGAGGCGCCCGAGGCGCCGCTCATGGCTCTTCAGTCACGGCCATGAATTGTACGAGTGCCTGTAGCTACGGACTGGTTCGCTTGGTGGGAGAGAGAAGACTCGAAAGTGTACGTACGTGCCCAGAGCAAAGGTTTTGAAATCGTCAAAAGAATAAGGAATTATCGTACCTCGTCAGAACTCCCAAAAAGAGATGGGTGTCCACTTCCCACAATGAATGTTCTGTCTCCGAATTGCTGGCAATCAAGTTCTCACTCCAAACCGAATAGGACCAGTTGGGTGCCTCAACCGTAAATTATTCGCTTGAACAAGATCTCTCTACAACAGTCTCCGCAAACCCCCGCGACCACGCGGTTTTTTTTAAGCACCCAATCAACGTCCGGGACCTCCGGTCAACGACGACCAGAGGAGTCGAACCGAACTCTGCGCCTTTGATCAACTCCCAGCTGCGGTTTAGGAGGTCCACAAAGAACTCATTGTCCTCACGGGATCGCTTGAGCGACGCGGAGAGCAAGCGACAAGGATTGTCGGTTTGCGGTTCGGACGAGTGGTGGTGGTATGGGCCATGCAAGCCCAGTACTCACTAGTAGGAAAGAAAACATGTCAACTAACAAAAGCCACCCGACATGGGTTTTGGCTGGATAGAAAGTCACCTTGAGTAACAAAGTCATCCTTCTCAACCTCTGGCAGGCCATCCTGGGGTGACCTCAAAGAGAAAGGAGAGGTCAGAAGTTCAGAAGATTTGCCAATAAGTCGTTTCTTCTCACACCCTGTGTTCGGGTCATTCATGTCCAAACCTGTCATCGGAAAAAAGAAAGGAACCTTCAGCGGCGCCCAATGACCAATGACCGGTAGACCAATGAGAGCGAGAAGCACCCACTAAGAACCCTCAACGATTTGTCCAAGACCAGCAAGAGGATCCCCACAATCACAACCAGATACGTCCTCCGGCAGATAAACATAGAACCTGAAAAAAAATCACGTCTAGTTGGTGGTTATATAGGTTCCTATAGCTAGTTTGCGGGGGTAAACACTCGTTTTTCCAGAAGCAAAGAAGTTCCTGAAGACGTTTGGGACTGGTCTCAAGTCCCCTGCAACACGACCTGGGGACCGTTTGGGACCTGGGGACCTAATTGATGCTACTTAGAGCGGCTCAGTTGGATGGCTGAGACACCTCTCAAAACAGATCGATTTTGATCAAAGTTCGCATGATTTGGAGGACACGACGTCTTGTCATTTGGAGGTCTCCGCCGATCTTGTAACTGAACGTTCAGCAGAACAGTGGTTTCAGAGTAGATGGCACCATCCCCAAGAGATGGTTTATATGAGCCTCCATCTAAAAGACATCTTGGGGGTTGTAAAGTTTGGGCCATGGCAAGCTCTCACACCCTGGGCCCCGAGCCCACTCAGTTGGCTTCGTGGTCCACGGGCCCTCCATGCCTGGGTCGACCAATGGCAGCTGGGCCGATCCAAGTGAAGAAAGAACACAAAATAGAATATAGTCATGGATCTTCTTTGGCAGATAAACACATGTGTCACATGAGTGTTTCACATTGGCGAATGGACTCAACGACTTGGCGGTCACTTCTTCCCTTTTCCCTGACCTGTCACAAAATGACCAGCAAAGCTGAGTCGGATCCTATTGTCTGTGGCCAAGCCCAAACCAAATGTTTGGCACCGCGCAAGTCCCCCCACTAATTCACCATGCTTTGAAGAACAAACAAAGCAAATGCCCCGCTCTGTGCAGTAGACTAGACGTCTTCAAACCTGCCCACATGCCCGGGAGTACGGTCAAACCTGACCCAACCACGCTATCAGACCCAAATCCGCCCGCACCGAAGGTGCTGGGGCGTGTGTATCCGGATGGCATAGTCAATCGCAAGAGTTCAGCTTTAGCTGGGGGGGGCATTATCGCGAACATCGACTGCAAACAACATCGTAAATAACATCATTTGATGAAGGTTTTGGGTCACGCAAATGTTTGAGGCGTTCTGGAAACAGCTTTAAAACGGTGGTTTTTGAAGATTTGGTCAAAAATAGCCAGGGTAGAGCCGGCATAAACAAACATCAGCGGCTTCACGGTACGGCTCTAGCTGGCTAGGGGTTCGTATTAGCCAGGTAGAGCCGGGACGGTGGGAAACCAGTACAACTATACTATACTACAGATACCAGGGCAAACTAGGAAAGGAAAGAAAACAGCAAAATAGTTGAAAGACTGTAGCTGGGATGTTGTTTCTGAAGCTTCCGAATCTCTATGACATTTCTACCCGCGCGGGCGGACCCAGCCGCATAGCCGCGAGAATAGCTTCAAAAAGCCTCAAGCCTCAAGCAAATGATCTGTTGCAGGACACGTTCTTCCCACAAAACCGGCCTCTTGCCCAACGGCACAGGACCCAATGAAAACTGGGACGGGAGAATGTACCACGGTGGAAAGCTGCGAGACGTTGAACCGCGCAGGGAAAGCCACTCGGGCTGTGGCTGGAGGCCAATGAATGGCCGACACAAGGGAGGACGCAAACAAAAGCAAGCAGTTGGATGTTAGATGATGTGTTGGATGTTGGCCGTCTCAACAGTTGGGATTGGCCGTTGGCTCAACATTGATATGGGGTGTCTTGCTCCAGATGTCCTGGTGGCATACTAGATTGGCCATGCCCTAACCCTGGTGCCCTTAGCCTTGGGCAGGTCTGCGAAGGGACGAATCGGGTCTGTCCAAGTGGCCACTGGTGAAGGTGTCGTTCCTCAGCTGATCTGAGATGAAACCCCGAGCTGCCCAGTCGACTGGTGACTTGACTGATTGGATCATATCATATCATGCATCTACAAAAAGAAGGAAACTTGATACCTAACACCGACAAAGATGACACTTTAACGTAGAGATGTTCCTCGTACGTACGAACTACACCGAGCCGATGCTGGATCGGCGAGGCTTGGGCCAGGGGGACATGTTGCTTCGCTTCCGAAATGGACCCAGAGGGCCAACATCGCATGCAATGGCAAACCCTCGTTGATCCACGTTGATCCCGTTTTTGCTTGTAATATCCAACTGCCTGAGGCAGTTGGCCGAACCCAGTCGGTCCTAGCTGGTCCTGTCAGGTGTGTTCTGAAAAAAAAAGCTATCAACTGGGATAAAGAAAGTATGTCTTTCAGAACTTTTTTCCGTGGGAGCTGTAACTAGGGTGATGTCAAGGTTGCGCAAGCCACTGCAAACAAAAGCAACACGTTGCAGAAACATGCTAAAGGATCAATCATGTTAAGTCAAATATTCATCGTGGACAGAGTGCCCATCTCAACTCCCCAAGGCAGACAAACGTCCTTCCCGAATCTCAAAGCTATGACTTGCGGCACTCTAATCTATCTCAGTTTGTCTGAGACCACTGCAGATATGTTTTCCTGAAAAAGTCAAAGGTTTGGCTGATGTCGGGGATGCTTGAATCATAAGCAGAGCTTCATTGTGATGTAAAGCGTGCTCCTCTTGTACGTACTCTCTCTGCAAGGGACCAGGAGTAAAAGCAGTTCTCCCTGTTCTCTGCAGTCCATTCCTGTCCAGTCCAGGTCACTTGAACAAATAACTATAGATTATATATATATATATATTTACAGTATATATATAATATATCCAAAAAAAAGATGGCAGCAAGGTTGATCTCCTGTCTAGCGTTGTAGCAGGTTCTTTGCCTGGCATGGGTTCGAATGACTTCCAGATCCACACCAACTACGTGGTTTGCCAGAATTGCAGCAGTAGGCATCTCAAGCATTCCTCAAGGGACAAGCTTGTTGCCATGGCCCAGACAAAATGCTGGAATGAGCAATGGCAGCCAGAAGGCCAGTGGAAAGGCCACAGTTCACGTCGTCTTTGGCGGAAGGGTCGGAAGCTTTTCTGCCAGCAGTGCCAAGCACACGCACTGGCGAGCACGAATGGATTCGAAGCCAGCAAGGCACTGAAAAGCAGATGTGGACAAGACATGGGACAACAGCGACTTCCAAGTTGCTTCAGGCCCAAGGAGGCCCACTCGTGAGCACAGAAAAGGAGCGAAGAAAAGAAATAATATATCCAATATATATTTATACATATAGGATCATATAGGAATTCCAGTGCAATAGAGATCATTCTTCCACGAGGTCGAAATGGGGGATCCTCTTCCGTGCTTTCGGTGAGCCGGTCTCGGCCTGGGTCGACGACCCCCCCACGGGTTCGGTTCGGATTTCGGCACCCATCGACCCAGCCCAGGGCCGCGGCTCCGAAATACACACCCCAACGGATGCCCAGGTACCCCTTGCCAGTACCACACTTCCCAGGCCAAGGATTGTGCACATCCTGGGTGAGAGCGTTTTGACATGCGAAACACGACGGCTGAAATGGTGGAGTCGCAAGTTGAAACCCTGTATGAAGGGATAGCTCCATGATAGAGATACAGTATACAGTTTAGACTTACACTACTTGACCTTGCGCATACAGTAGATGCAACGACCTCCTTCCTGTGACAAACGGTTTTTGTATTTCACAATTTCCCAGAATTGCCAACATGCAACTGGACAGGATGAGTTCTGCAGGGTACCGGGTAGACTGTCATCAATTCAGGAGCAATCCTGCTACAGTAGCCTTCCATCGTCTTCCAAACATCAGGCTTCAAGCCTAGAGTTTCGATCCACGTGAGTTCCAGTGATAGTTTCCAAATATCTAGTCAGAACCCCGCAAATCCCACCTACTTGGGTGTGTACTAAAGACCATACTAGGGAGACCTCCGAACGAAAGACCCCCATGGAAAGAAGGCCAAAACTCATTGGGTGAGGAGTCTCATGGAGTCTCCCACTTCCTATAGGCAAATCAGGGCCTCGCTGTTTGATGTGCAGCTTCCTCTTTGGAACCATGTTCTGGTCCTTTACAAACCAGTCTGACAGAGTCTTGCAGCTGAGACTCAAGGGTCTCTCTTCTTCGCAAAGCACTTAAATAACATGAAGAGTCTGACAGAAAGAAGACCAGGCAGTCACCCAGCATGCGAAAAAAGGAAGACCGGTGGACCGGTCTTAACCGTGTTTTGCGAACCATCTTCATCACCAAAACTTGACAAATCGAGAGAAAAAGAAAACATGAAGAAACCAGCAACATGGCGGGGTGATCATTACCGCACCCGACGTCTCCCAACATCACCCGACGTCGCCACCCACCAGGGCCCGTGGCCTGATTGGGTGCGGGCCCGGGGCCCTCGGGGCAGGCGCCGTGGCTTTTGCCGAAGGTGTGGCCTCCACCAATGAGTGCCACCTGTCACCGGCCGGTCACCGGTCAGAAACACCCAGACCGAGGCCACCGAGCTGGCGCGAGGTGTGTGGTGTGTGGGTGTTTGAGGTCTTTGGAAGCCCAGCAACGTAACGGAAGACAAAAGTACTGCAGGTGTTGCAGACCATGAAACTCTCATACATTCTCATGATTCAACACGTCCCGTCTAACAGTCTAACACCAAAACAATTATCCCGGCAAGAGACCCTGAACAGTGTTGAGATGGGCGTATCTGCAAAGTAGAGTCAGAGAGCACAATTCCGCAGTAATTACCTTGAGAGGGAAGACTTCTCCATCGGTTCAACCAATAAGGCACGTGTTCGTTCGCCTGTTCAGTACAGGTTGACAAGTGAAACCACTGTTTGGGTGGCAAATAGCTGAATTGAACATGGAAGTTACAAAATGAGCATGTGGGCAAACATCCAAACATATATAAACATATTATATAAGCACACGCACATGTTCCCCTTTCCAACCACCTAAGTTCCCACGCGTGTAGCGGATCCCGAGATCCCCCCGGATCCACCGCGTGCTGGTACCCACCGCTGGGGATCCCGGACAGTTTGGGAGTCATTCATTCCCATGCGCCCAAAGGCGTCGCGAATGTCTTTGGCGCTCTTGGCGGGGTCGGGGTCCACATCGTAGTGTCCATCCTAGGAGGGGAATGAACGGAGACGCGACGTGGATGAAGCGGATCTCCATGTTTGTGTGTTTGAAAGAATCAGGTGAACCGGAGGTTATAATTGTGCCGCCCTTTCCTGAACCATTCATTGCAGCAACTCCTTCTTCCAACCCTGACCTCGCTCCTGCCTGCTCACCACCCACCCTCCTCCTGGCACTGAGTCTGGTGTTGCTGCTGTGTGAGACCGTTCATCAAATGCGGCTCCGCCCAGATTGAGGTGTCTGTTGAGAGAAAGGATTCCTGACGTCTGAAAACGGAGTTGTAGGATAAAGCTGCGAAACTAGTTGGAAGATGTTGGAAGAACCCATTCATCTTTGTACATCCACCAGATGTTCTGCCAAAGTATCTTTAAAGGGATGCAACGCACCCTTTCCTTACACTGAAGGATCATGGAACCACCAGTTTGCAACGGACAATTGTTTTGCATGCTGTCACTCGATTTTGGTGCAAGAAAACGCCGCCACCTCAAGAACCAACTGAGGTCCAACTAACAACAAGCAGCCTGCATATGGTGCCCTGCCTGATTGTTAGACCGTCCTTGCTGATAATTAGCCCAAAGCGAGTGAACATGGTGACGTACTGTGCATTGCTGCTAAAGTAAGTCCAGCTACACCTGGGAGTCAGTATTCTTGGGTATTCGTGGGGCAGAACATTCCGGTTGGTCAAGACTTCCTTTCTTTATCAGGTAGAAAAAGGTCTCGAGGTAATGAATCTTCGGACCATGCAGGCCGCCAGTCCCCATGGTCAGTCTCAACAACGTCAGGTGCAGAAGTCGGGAGGTCATGCTCCGCTCGCCCAAGACTCCGGCTGCTTGGTGACAGGGCCTGACGTTTCACGGCGTCGAGCCACCGGTTTCACATGTGACCATAGTTCCTGGGAAGACTACCAATTCCTCTGCAAACAGGGAGTGAACTCCACCTCCATTCTGCTTGGAGTGTAGGTTCTTTTTCCCACTCCTTTGCCTCGCAGCTTCGGCGGCGGAAGACATGTCCCACAGTCCTGCAAACGAGAGAAACCACACTTTGCTACTCTACCAAGCAGGAATGGGAAGGGATCCCCGCAACCCGGTTGGTGGGGTCTCCGCGTTAACATCCACACACACGAAGAAGTGGAACAAGGTCCCAACATGAAGCTCTGGATGATGGGGGCTCACCAAGTTTACCACCTTCGGATGTGCGTTCACCTGGCCCTCAAAAGTGTTTTTCTCACGACGTAAAACCGTCAAAAACACCTACCATGAACCGCTTCGCCACGCCATTTGCCATGGAAGTCCAGCACCGACCTCTCTCTCCGCCGCCCTTGACGACGCGACGCGTGCCGATGGCCGCCTTCAGGGTTCAAGTAGATCAGGCCGACCTCGGGAGTCCGTGCGAGGTCGTGACGAAGAACGCCGAAGCCATGGTGCAGTGATCGGCAAGGGGAAAAACACACACACCAGGTGTCAGCCGTTTCATCCGTGTGTGTGGGTCCTTGTGGGTCCTAACGTGCGTGGTTGTTCCTGAAAACACGAAGGCCCCTGACCTCCATCGCGAGCTTGTGTCTGGATCTGAATAGCTCTGCAAGTAGAGAGGGCCAAGTATAGTATACAATACTCTACTTTGGAGTATCTTAACAGTTTGCACCATCTCAGCCTCACCAAAATCTTCATGCTCTTCCTGAGGACAAATGCATCCAATCATCCGTTTCTGCTTCTCGGAGCTGCGAGACAAACATGGTGCGACGGTTCTCCCAAGCGTTTCTTGTGTGGGTTCTCTGTCATGTAAAATGGTCTATAAATGTCTACTGACTAGCATATACGCACAACTATGACCTGGAAATCACGGTTTACATGCATTGCTTGCCTGTCCAAGGCCACCAAGTGGGACTATGTGGCCAACCTCGCTTAAGCCAGCCCAGACGATGAGTCCACGCAACACCGAGACCGGTCGAGCGACCCCCGTCGATCAGACTGTGATGAGTGCACGGAGCGAGTGAAGCTTGGCACTTCGGACCAGGGCCACACGTCTGGGACACCAGAAGGAGGTCCTTTGAGAGGTCCATTTAGTTAGATCATGCTAGATACACCGATAGACCCATTGGTGGTTTTATCTGGGAGGGATCCCCTAAAGGCCATCAATGCTGTTCCCACACGTCGATATCACATCTGTCACTCTGGTGGCCAAGTGTCCGTGGTGCTGCCCAATGGTCGCTGGCAGGTGCCATTGATGGCGCAGGGTGCATACTTCCTCGCATGGCGTGAGGGGCCCAGTTCCGAAAAAACGGAATGCTGGCCGCAGAATTCCAAATAACATCAGAAATCATTAATTTATCAATTGTCTTCCCAAGCCACCATTGCTTTACCAAGGATTTTACACTACAAAAGCAGGTCAGCCATTCTTTTCATGGTCTTGGAAGGCTGGGGCTGGTGGTCACCATCCCATGTCGGGGGCCTTGGTCGTAGCTCAAGTGCTTCTGGCCTAACAAAAGGCCCTCCCACTTGGTTGGTCCAGGGAGTCCTTGCACAGCTGAAGGACTGGTTTTTCGCCTCTTTGAGACACCTGCTTGGGTTTCTTCACGATGTTTGATGGGTTCAGGAGGGTTTAGGCTTCTACATGCTTGTACAAAAACAAGACAACATTGACTGGTGTGTTTCCGTAGGCCAAAAACTTCTTGGGTTCTGAAACATGTTTTGAGTCGAAAAGGCGCGCGTTTCAACACGAGGGGCATCACTCATCATCATCATCATCATCATCATCATCATCATCATCATCATCATCA